GACAAATGATCTCACAGTCTACGTGACAGTGCCTGAAATACACTTCCTCTTAAAATGTGTCCCAGTCTTGCATCAGGAAAGGAAAGGTTTGAAGAATGGTGCGTGAACTAGCCCTTCAACAGAAAAAAAACATAATTTTGTTGTAGGTTTATGATGAAAGTAATTCCATTTGGTTGATTTACACATCCACACCCTTTAATAAGAAGTACTTTCTGAGAGGCAATTACTGCTGTCTTGTCATCACTGATGCTGCAAAAAGCAATAGTTTATAAGCAGGAAAACTCAACAAAATTAAAACCTTTAAATAAATAGAGGCTGCAGATTTTCCCTGGAGACTTTATGAAAGCTGTATATTTTGGTATACTTTGTGTCAAGCAGCTACTAAGCAAAACCTGATCTGATATTTTTTGCAAGTACAGGTGTGTTGAAGAAAGCAGGATAAGGAGAAAATCTTTTTTGTGAAGCGCTGGCTCACTTGGCCACTTATGCAAAATTAAACAGTTTTTAACTGGCTAGAAAGTTTGATCATTTTGGGCAGCTGACAGCCTTGATTCCTGTTTCTTCAGTCTTACTGCTGTCTTACCTGTCCTCACAGTTCCCAGTCTTAATCTCTTCCACAAGCCAATTAATTACAGGGTTTTTTTTCACTGTCTTCAGTTGTTTTAAAGCAACTTCTACACCTTAGAACCCAAACTTTTGCTTTAGTGCCAGCAAGTTCTTTGTCTCTTTCAGTATTTATTTGTACCCAGTGTACCTAGTAGAGTAGTTGAAGAGATTCATTTTCTTTTACCACTTTCCTGTCAATAGTTCCAACATTTTCCTTCCTTTGTAATGAATGTACTTGCATCAATACTGCCTGGCTCTGGCTTTTTTTTTCCTCTCAGCATATACGTTGCCTAAGCTCCATTGATTTTTAATGACCTAATAATCTGCTGCATCTCAAAACTGCAGTTGCAAGGACAGGTCAATTCATCCAGGTGGAAACATATGCAGTACAAATGGAACCACTGAGAAAATCAGGTACTAAAAATCTAACTTGTCTCAACTGAGCAAGCAAAACCTGCATTTTTTCAGATTTATTATAAGGCCAAACCTTGTGGATTTTCAGACAAACAGAAAAAAAAAAAAAGCTTTCTTACCCAAGATTCATTTACAAAGTTATTTTAAAAATACTTAATAAAACGGAAGGGCTAGTCTCATTTAGAACACGGAAATTGTTAACATTATAATAACAAGCAGTCGACCAATTTATCTTATAAGTTTTATTACCAGAAATAACTGAACTATTCTGTTTGCAGTGATCTGTTGAGAAAACATAATCTTGATTATTGAAAAACATTATTTTATCATTTAACATTTTGGCRGTAATAATTTTGAAATACAAAGACACATAAAATAGATTTTCTAATGAGAAAGTTGGAGGAACCGAAAGAATAAGCAGTGGTTTCATTCTTATGTGATAGGAGGCATAGTTAGAGAGTGAATAATGTGTGCTATTTTTTGAGACTGTAATCCTGCAAAGAGAGTTTTCAAAATGAGAAAGATACTCAGAACTTAAATTTGCCTTTACTAAAAAAATGTTTCTTTAAAATTTTATATCTTTGAGTTTAAATGCTCTAAAAGTCTAGAGCCACATTCTTTATCTTTTACAGCGGGACAGGCAGTTTCTGAAAGCAGGAAACATAATATAAATAAGAGTGCTGGAATGAACCCTAAATGTTTCATGTAAAACTACTTTCTAAAGCTGYCCAACTCATTTCTAAAACTCAGAAGCAGTCTTTGTGAATTAATAGAAACATTCTTAGAGAATTTGCTAACACAGAATTATCCTTCTCCTGCCTTTAGGTACATAATGCAGTAGCAGGTAAGGAAGATTTTGTCCCATCACTTCACCTTGAAGGGGCTACAAGGTCATGGTTTAAATTCTGTGAATTAATTCATACATTTGCCAGGAATACCTCATTTTTTYCAGGCTTCTGAAGGTCAGACGATTTTTATTGTCACTTACTACAATTTAAATTTAATCTTCAGAGTCCTTGGGGTCTCTCAGCTCCCACACCCAAGCAGAAGACAGTGAAGTGTATAGAGAATAAAATTCCCATCTTTTCATCTAGGCATAATTCATCTATGTGTAACAGAGAGCAAAGAAATAAAAATAGTCTAGAGTACAACATATGGGTCCAGAGCAATTTTTTTTTTTTCTCCATCAGCCCATAAGARCAACCAGGATTAGGTTACATGCAGMAGTGGCTGACCATTGTTCAGAACAGTCTGTGAGATGACTGCCTGGCTAATTCCTAGCTACATTTGATGCAGTGTTCATTAACCATCTACATTTCTGGTGTCATTTTCATTGGTGTTGAAAGTACAGCAAATTTGAGAGTTTGCTGGCTCTGGGAGGGATCACCCTCAGAGATCYTCCTGCTGTGCTCCAGGAGAGCTAAAGGGGTCTCTGAGTAGGGCTGCTCCTTATAGGGTCACAGGAGAAATGTCTTTAGTCATAGTAACTTTCCATCTTGGACAACCATTTGGGTCAATAACTTTCTTTAAAAAATGGGTAACAAAAGTGTTGTTCCACACAGGTCATTATTTTTTTAGGTTAGGCAAGAAAAATAAGATTCCAAGACTGTTCATTAAAAACAAGGAGCTCTTTAGCCCACAYGAGTTCCTGGGAGCAGATAATATTTTGATGAGCTCAAGATTGAGGCCCAGCAGTATTTCTGAGATAATTGTGCAGCTGGAGGAGGAGGGAGGGATGCACCACCACAGTGTGATTTTGTTGAAATTTTTATTCAGGAAATTACTCTGTGTTTTGCTTTGACTTCACCCAATCGAGTTTGTGTTGCATACTCTTTAAATACTTTTAAGAATATATTTGATTCGAGAATGAAATTGTGTGCATATTTAGGCATTTTTTCTTCCTAGGCATACCCTTCCTAGCAATATATGTCTAKAACAATTTTACTTCAGCCCATGCTTTTTCATTTTCATTCTCCTAAAAAAAATATGGTTAGAAAGAGCCATCAYAACTTGTATCAGATGTCTTTATTAATAACTCTGTAACTGTTTTATCCTTGCAGTATATGCAATACCTTAAAAGTTGGGTTTTTTTCTCACTGTTATAGGAAATTCCAAAATATTTCAAAATTGGTTCACAAATAAGAACACTGCAGATTGTGCTGTTTGGTTGTCTACCAATATGATTTATAAAAATCAGAGGTTTCYGTTGTTTGTTTTAGGTGGATTATTTAATTGTGAATTATTCTTAGTGCTGTAGGATCTACATACTCAAAATTAGGGTTTATTATGGGATGAATAATCTTTATAATAATCTTTGAAACTCTACTTTGGTTTTGTTTTTTAATACAAAGTCTCTGCCATAGTCATTAGGTCAGTAGTTGTCCACTTMTAAGTGTTTCACATTCCATTTAGAGCTAATTCCACTGATTTTGATGGCTGTTTTTCATTCAAAATGCAGGAYGAACAAGAGTGGACAGTTAGTTACCTTTCAGTGACAAAACAGCACCTACTGAAGTAGTAGACATGAAATTTAACAGTATTTATACTTTTCTTTTTGTCAAGTCAAAACCCACAGTTGCCTCCAAGGAGTGTTTTTATGCTTGTAGATTTTTTACATTTGCAGATTTAGAGATCTGCATAAAGTGCATGTGATTATTAGATCTGTACAATTTAGAATGAAGTTGTTTTTRTGAAGTTTGAAAATTTCATTTTTAGTGATTACATTGCATGCATTGTACTTCCTGAGGTCAGCTCAGTCGGGTGAGCTCTAATTATCTCATTAGAGCAGGATGCTAATAAAGCCAAAGTTGTGGKTTCAGTCTCTGTGTGGGCCATTCACATAAGAGTTGGACTTGATCTGAGTCCCTTCCAACTCACAGCCTTCTGTGTTCCTGCTTGTGGTTCTAGTGATAAACTTTAACTTTCAGTTCTAAACTTCAATGAAAGGCTTCATTAGCTTCTTTGAGTGTTTCATCAGCATGAGTGTGYCAGTAGAGACAATTTTTGCCCTATAAAACATTAGGTGCCTTGGTTTAATTTTTTTTTTTTTTCACGAAAGCATAAGCATATTTTTACGATTGGTTTGTTTGTGAACTAAATTCCTAACAAAGTAGTACAAACTTTTTTTTTTTTTTTTTTTTCACAAAAGCATAAGCATATTTTTACGATTGGTTTGTTTGTGAACTAAATTCCTAACAAAGTAGTACAAACTTGCACAGAACTTTTTGAAAAATTTAGAGGATGGCGTCTTCTGTAGGAAAATAATTTCTTGCTTCTGTTCTCGTTTTCTCCTATTACACTAATCAATAAATACTTGTTGATTTCTCTTGACTTTAAGCAGTAGACCAGAAATGTGATTTCTGTGCTCATAAGAGACACTTGGATTCCAAAAAATAAAGGTGGCCTTTTCAGAAAAGAAAAAGTTGTCCTTTGCAGAAAAGAGAACTCAACAGTAATGCACTTCTGCTTAGTTTTAAAAAGTTATGATTTCGCATGGGGTTTTGAGCTTTTTCAGCTTCCTAGAACTGTTTTCACAAAATGTGTGGCTATGGATTGCTCAAACCTAGCATTGCATGTAGTGTGAAGGGTTGTTGGTTTGGTTTTTTTAAATGTCATGTTTTCCATAGAATCTCTGCAAAGTCAGCATGCAGCTTGCTACTTTTTTGAGTATATAATTTTATGAACTGCTGTGGTTCAATAAATATCTCTCATTACTGTCATTATACACTGTTTAGAATTCTTGATAGGCATTTTGAATACCAGTGTAAAATATCTAATTGAATATGAGATTTTTTTTATTTCCCTTCATCTTTAGTGATCTTGGTTGGTTAACTGATTTTTATATTACAAAGTACTTCCATGTATTAGCTATTTGATTTTTTTTTTTTTTTTAAGAATACAATGGTGTTCCATTTATTCCTTTGTAGAACTCTCTGAGCAGATGCCATTTTCGTTGCTCTTAAAATTTTGGTTTTGATCAGTTTTTAGGAAGTGTTGAAGAAAAGTCATTTAGCACCACGCGGATGGGGGCTGGAACGGATCTTGAAAATTACCAAACTGCTTTAGAAGAAGTACTCTCATGGCTTCTCTCTGCTGAAGATGCATTACAAGCACAAGGAGATATATCCAATGATGTAGAAGTTGTTAAAGAACAGTTTCACACCCATGAGGTATATATTAATAATGATCTTTTGAAAGATATTTATTTTATTCCATTTTATTTGTTTGGGTTTTTTTAATTTTGTTTTTGTTTTTTGTTTTGTTTTGTTTTTCATTTGGATTTGGAGAATGTTAACTGGAGACTTCTGTAAAGTCACAAAATTTTTGGGGTTGTAAAAGACCCTCAAGTCCAGCCATTAAACCATGTTGCTGAGTGCTGCATTTACACATCCAGGGATGAAGTGGACATGGTTATTTTTTTTCCCTAAAATCCAAATTAAACCTCCCCTGGTGCGACCTGAGGCCATATCCTCTCATCCTATTATTTGTTACTGTACCCACCTCATTGCAAGCTTCTTTTAGGTAGGTGTAGAGATCAATAAGGTCACCCCTCAACTTCTTCTTCACCAACTAAACAGCTTTTTGCCCTTTGAAGAAAGTGAAAGTTTTTATTTCTRGTTTATTTCTGGTTTATGTTACAAGGTTTGGGGAGGGGTTGAAAAAATTAAAAGTTAGGTTGAAAATCATATTTCCAAAATGGTGYAATTCTGTTCTTTCTAAGAATGCATCTTAAAACTGGATTTTTTTTTCTCTTTTTTCAGGGTTTTATGATGGAGTTAACAGCTCACCAAGGACGTGTTGGTAATGTTTTGCAAGTTGGAAGTCAACTTCTATCGACCGGAAAACTTTCAGATGAAGAAGAGAATGAAATCCAAGAACAAATGAATCTACTTAATTCTCGTTGGGAAAGTCTCAGGGTAGCAAGTATGGAAAAACAAAGCAAGTAAGTAATATAGCAGGTGAAATAATACGTATTGATTTTGACTGAAACAATCCTGAACTTGACTAGCAGTTGGGATTTTCTTTCATTTCACTGTGAACAAAACTCCATCTCGTATGTGTTTTAACCTGAAATTTGATGTGTAGTGATTTTGAACCTTGCATGTTGTTTGGAGCCTGGAAGCCACATAAAGCAGCAGCTATCAACAACTTGGACTCAGATAACACTTTAACTAAAATTTATATAACTTACTTCACCTTTTTCCAGTTGTTTCAACACATATTGTATCGCACAACATTTAGCTACAAAGGAGGGAATCTTTGAAAAGATGAAAAAAGRAAAGGGAAACAAATCTTTTAAGACCTCCAAAACTCAATCCCATAAAAAGAGTATAGGGGAGCTTAGCTTTCCTGGGAACATTTCCATGTTCTTTTCGGAGTACCAATTACACTATTTAAAAAGGGGCAAGTCCTGCAGCCTGAAGTTGAAATACAAGTAGAAGTASAAAAATAATCTATTAAATAGTCACATTCATCTTCAGAGTTTTTTGTAATATTACTGTCTGATTTTGAAATTTTGATTCACATAGTATCATCTATTATATGAGATGATATCATAGATATCATCTRTGATATCTRTGAGAACTTCCATGAATGTAAGAAMTTGTGATTATGCCACAGGGGAACAATTTGGTTTATAGAATGCAGAGACACTAGGAAGGGCATTGGAGGTGGTTTATGGGTGAGCTTCCTTTAACTTTCCCTTTTCCCAACTTTTCTCTTTTTCTTTTTATCCCATGTTATGTTTATATTCTTAATCCTTGCTTGACAGAATAATTCTATTTGGGGCCCACGTGACTGGCTCTTAACATTGTCGTGAAAAATTTTGTACACCTCCTGGCCTTTCTGTAAGGGGACYAATGGCAAAATTTACCAACTGTCATATTGAATCAAATCCAGTGGAAATTTTAACTTTAATTGAATGTCAGTAGGGGTTTCTTTATAACCAAGCAGTATTAATTATGGAAGAATATAGCCATTCTCTGTAGTAAAACCAGATTAATGCAATGACAAAAAAAAATAAAAAAATTTAAAAAATGAAGCAACCAAATCTGAGCTCCTTGGGGGCTTTTTAAGTACTTTAGGCTACTTTGACTCCATTAAAATCCCTCTGCCGAAGTGTTAATTTTTCTCTCCAATGAACATATACTAAGTGAGAAACTCTTCTGTCAGTTTCTTCAACACAGCTGGAGAGGGACTCCTTTGCAAATGTGAATTTAATAACAGCTGAGTATCTCTTGTAGTAAGACCAATGGTCTAGTCTTTCATCCTGACAATAACAAAAAAAAAAGAAAAAGGCTTTGACTTGAGCTATGGAAAGTTTAGATTAGCTATTACGAATCTTTTTYCGTGGAATGGATTGTAAAGCATTGGAACAGACCACCCAGGGAAAACATCCCTGAAGGTATTAAAAATTGTGTGGATATTTCACTTGAGGATATGGTTGAATGGTGAMTATAGGGTGGTGCTACTTCAACAGTTGATAATTTCCGACCTTAATGGTGCTGTGAGTCTAAGAAAAGGTAAGGTTTTGGGGAGACACATGATCTCCTGAGCCAGCATCTGCTCATCATCTTTTTCCACAGTGGAGACCAAATACTGGGCTGTGTGTGTCATTGGTCTGACCAAATACTGATGTATTATATTCTGAAGTTCTCCACAGAACAATTTTGACCTCGAGCTGTTTTCAGCTGAGGGTAACCTCCTGAGATGGAAGAGGTTTTGGTAATCTACTATTAATTTTTTTTTTTTTTTTTYYTYWTCTWTTTWTTTATATCCTTCTGGATCTGTTGGCATCCATGTCATCCTTCGGCAGTGAATTGCAAAGGTCTTTTACCCAAATAGGGCTTCTTTTTTGTGGAATGACTTATTTTCTTTTGTGCTTAAAAGATTCCTTCTAGTAATTCCATTGAAATGAGGGTCAACAGTATATMTTTTCTTATTTTCTTCATAAATATATATTGAACATATTCAATTATTCACCTTGTTTTTCCTTGAGCTTTTTCCAGTTCTACCATGCCTTTTGGAATAGAGGGGTTTGCCCATAAGCATTAAAAGGGAACTGTGATTTTCAGCAATTGCATGACATAACTCTCTTGCAATACATAAACTCTATTTCTTGCTATCCATTCTTAGTAATTCCAAACATTTGCTTTTCACCTTGCTGCTGAGTATTGAGATTGCTTTATTTGTTCTGTCTTCCTTTCACTATAAAATTGTTGATGGGTCTTGGATGTTTCAACCTAACTTATTCCAGTTTTAGTATTTTCTTGGAACGGAAAATCTATGATGCTTTACTGTAGGGAGTTTTTATTTGCCATATTTATTTTCATTTTAATTAACACATGAAACCAGCAACCTCACTTCTATGAGAGGTACTGTGTCTACTTAAAATMTCCTTTAACACCAGTTGTTAAACCCAGCTCAATTCCCCAGCTTGGGGAATTGAATGGTCCAGAATCTTCTGAAGCAGATCATATTTGAGTAATATGAATTCAGTAGAAGACATAAAATGATAGGGGCCTCATAGAGAATGTTGTGCTACTGTTTAGTTTGCTATATAAAAAAAAATGAATCTGTGATAAATTCAATGACATTTGGGTTAGGGCAAGAGAAAATTTCTCAGGAGTGACAGATACAGTTAATTCTGGYCCATTGGTCAAACCCCTGTGTTTCAAGAAACCAGATGGAGGATTATARAAAGCTTTCATATCACAATATAATATATTTCTGGGTTATTATACATAATTTAAACTCTCAGGATCCATCTTCTGCTTCAGCTCAAAGCAATCTTCTGRGCACATTGCTCTAATCTAGTCCCTAAGGCAACAGGGAAATGTTTAGCCAAAAAGAGATGGTTTTTGTGAAGATGAGAACAGCAAGGCTGGCTGACCTCTGGAATGGTAATAGAAAGTGTAAAAAAGGGAACCACACTTTACAGCACAGGGAAAGCAAAAGCTAGCAATAAACAAGGACAGGGGGAACATATACTGATAGAGATGCTATAAAARTGAAAGGGTCATAGAAAAAGTGGTTTTGGAGGTCAGAATGTCAGAGGAGGTTTGGAGTCCAACAATGCCTTTGTGTAAAAGCAGCCCAGATTTTATTTCTGATGTATTCACTATGTATAGAAAGTATTTGACTCTTCTAATAAGCAGGGCACTAGCATGTTGAAGGAAAACAGTCATTTTTATTTTTTCATTTCTTCCTCTGGTCTTTCCCTAATAGGATTCTTTATAGTAAAGCATCTCAGGTGATGAATATACCACTGGAGAGAAAAATATAGCAACTTACCACTTTATAGAGAATTCTACAACTTTTAAAATGCATCCAATTCAATGAATTTTTTTTTTTAATTTGAAAATTATGAGAACCATATTATAAACGAAGGCTTTAATAATCTCCTGAGAAATATAAAAAGGTATAAAACCATCATATCAAATGTTTATAAAAGTATTATGAAAAGCAGCAAGTACCTGGAGAATGGTAACAAAGAAGAATTCTTTTGCTTAGGAATAAACTGTGATTATTTTCTGTGATTCTTTAATTGCAAAATAATGTAAAAACTTATATTTTATTTTTTTTAAACAGCTAAAATTTTATTGTTAAAATACCCAAGTCACAGAAGCTTTTTAATAATTCCATTTATACTCCAAGTACCTTGTACGTTCTTGTTACTCATGGGGTATTTGAAGTCTGTGTTTGTGGTTAAGCTTCTCTTTGTTTAAAAAAAAAAGAATCCTTTTTTTTTAAATAAGGAACAACATAAAGTTTATTTTTAGAATGTCTTTTATGTGATGTCCCATTCTTTTTAAAGCAAAGGTCATTTCAGGGAGAGAAAGACAATAYCAGAGTGGTGGAGGTTCAGTTTGCTTTACTGGTGAAGAACCTCRAGACAATCAGTTCCCAGCTTGAGTCATTCCAGGCTCCTTCCTTCCCAWGGCAGGATTTTGTATTTGTCAAGGTTGAATGTTGTAAGATTCCTCTTGGCCTGTCCCTTATCTAAGAAGGAAGTGAGAATTAGCCACGATAAATACAAAGTATCACTGGAAATTTAGTCATTCCTTTGCACAATATGAGTTAATGTTATGCTATTTTTTTTTAGCTATCATAAATAGCAAGTAGTAATTAGATAAATACATCAACATTTGAATCRTTTTGAGAAGATTCAAAACTGGAGGGAATTTTTCTTTTCTAAAAAGCTGGGAAATAAGTTACAACCAACAATAAAAGTGCTGAAGTTTCGGGCATATACCTTAAAATATGAACAGGTTACAAGTGAGATATAGTATCTACATGATGATCACATTAAATTGTGTTAGTTTAAAATAATTTGAACATATACCAAAGATTACCTATGTGTAAAATGTAATTTTCTGTGGTGATTAGTTAGAAATTTTTTTTTGTATTTCTGGGAAAATACAGAATGATGTTTGATTTTGATATATTAAGACATGAATTTTCAAATGTATAAATTTCTGGGTTTGTTCAAACTGTCGTGGGAAAATCCAGAATTGTTTGGACAAGCTCAAAAGTACTTGCCTTACTTGAGCATTGTGAAATTGTGACAGAAACTTCATGTTTGGGTTTGTGCAAACATTTCTTAAGTTGTGCAACAGCTCATGGAAAAGACCAGTGCACTTCTCTGGAGCCTTGTACTCACACTGCAGTTCTGCCACTCTGCACTTCTTCAGGTGTTGTGGGGGGAAATATATTTATTTTAAATACCCTTGTGGGGAGAAATGTCATTGTGAAGTCCAGTAATTCCAGGTGTGGTTGGTTACAGAGCTGAAAATCATAATAGCCTTCTAATTTTTGCTACATTTCCAAGAAACCAGCTTGAGAAATAAGTGAGTTAGAGTAGGACTGTGACATCTTTCTTACCTCATAGTTTTCTCAAGTCTGAAAGTTCAACTTGAGTTCTGAAAGTAGCTAACTGACTTTTTGCTGCAAGAACTGTGCTTGAGAATTAAATAACACGCTGTAACATTTCACCAAGTTAAACTTGGAAACTGAAGTTTCATCAGGCTCAGTGTCAGTGAGGAACAGCGACTTTGGTCTGCCAAATCTAAATTAAAAATTGTATGTTATGTGAAAGATGGATAATACAAAGATGTTGTTCTAATTTAATTGCTCAGAAATAGTTAACACATTACTTTGAGAATCCAGTTGAAAAGATGAAGATTTTGTTTAGGGAAGTTTAGAGAATTCCTAGAGACCAATGTAAGTGGAAATCTGTAATGGATTTCTGGCCAGGTAATTTTGGATCTATGTTATTTGATTAGGCAAAACTGAAGYATTTCCTKGTTAACTTTTCAGATTWTTCTGCATTGAATAACTGAAAATATAATAATTTCTTCTTTTAATATCCTAAATTAGAAGAAGACTGRTAAGGTCTTTGAGCAGATTTCTTAATACTTGTAGTGGATAACCCAAACTTTCAAAAAACAGTAAAAATGTTGAAGTCCATCTCTAATAGAAATGCAACTGGAGGACAATGCTTTAACAGATTAAGTCAGTTTTGAAAGAAAAAGCTTCAAAACAGTTTGTCTACATCAAAAGAACATTTCAGTTACCTCTTTCATAGAATCACAGGATTTGCTGGGTTGGAAGGGACCCACTGGGAGCATGGAGTCTCACTCATTCCTGGCCCTGCCCAGGACACCCCAACAGTCACATCCTGCCCCTGAGAGCGTTGTCCAAATGCTGCTTGAGCTGTTCCCCTTTGAAAGTAAATATTTCTATTCTGCCTCCAAATGTAAGCTGGTAAAAATCAGTTAAAATACAGGGCAGATGTTTCTGCCTGTTGGTGTCTTCCCTTATCAATTCTAAATAATTTTTTTCTTTATTTTACAGTTTACATAAAATCCTAATGGATCTGCAGAATCAGCAGCTAGCCCAGTTAGCTGATTGGCTGACAAAAACAGAGGAAAGGACAAAGAAAATCGATTTGGAGCCCTTGGGTCCAGATCTAGAGGACCTAAAACGTCAAATAGAAGAGCATAAGGTATGCTGTGCTGTGCTTCCAAAGGCATAAAAACCAAATTGGGTGTTTGACATTTTAAAAGCTCTACTGCTGTCGTTAGAGCATAGCAAAGTAATATGAAATCTTAGTTTAATATTTATTGTTCTGTACAGTTAACAAGCTTTTGTAGACTTACTTTGTCACAACTGTGGGTTTTATTCCGATATWAAAAAAAAATTGCTTTCTTTTTATATATAAGCAATATACTAGAATATGCAAGACAACTGTAACATCTTTCCATTACATTACAATAAGAATATATCAGATTTTTTAATACCTGCCTATTCTTCTTTTTGATTCTTGCTTTTTTTCCTTACATGTTGTAGCAGCAATGATGCAGTAGTCAGACCACATTACCTTGTTAGGACTCCAAGATTTTGAATATATATTTGCACTGAATATGTATTATGCACTGTACAATGCACTGGTTTCTAACTGTAGAAAATACTTTTTGGTAATGTATTTAAATAACAAAAAATAACAAACTCATAAATGGAATGTGAGATGGAATTTGGTCAGGTTTTTTCCACATTACATAAGGATATTTTTTTAATTGGAAGAATTAAGAACTAAAAAAASAGRAAATAGCTTGTGTRACAGWTTTATTCTATTTGCTARRTTAGAGTSCCTTGCTTCATCTTAATTTARATTTTAAAATAAATTTATCTACATGTCYATAGCACATGGTGGTGATGATAAGGAAACACAGAAAAATAGAGAAACCGGAGATGATTTTGATTTGTGTGATGGTGGAGATTTGATGTGGTGACCTGGTAATGTTTCTACATCAGTGTCTCAAAGCATCTCTGTTCCATGGTACCTTGGGAGATTTTAACACCTGATGCTCCATGGCCTGTGTCACTGCTAATCCAGGTTTTAGAGGGCAGATCATCCTGAAAAACAATTCAAACTGAAATCAGCCTTTACAGTTCTTTTCAAAAGAGGTCAAAAGCTGCAAAAGACTTCCTGATCCACTTGTGTGTTAAAGATGATTTCTTTGCATTCTGATTAGGGAGTGCTACTGAAGAAGAATACAAATTCTGCAGCTCCTGCTGCTGTTTGTGCTGTCTGTGCTTGCCCTGTGAGGAGACAATATATTTCAGTATGTTAGTTTTCTAGCTAAGGATATTTTCTGACATTAAATTTTCTTTTTTTAAAAGATAGCAGGTAATTATGAAATGGAAATTGGAGAAAAAAAAAACATGAAAGATGTTGAATACATCAGTACTAAGACTTGAATAACTTTACTCTTATTTCTATGCATTTTATGCTTGAATACTAACACAAAATATAATCCTTATGTTTATGCAATCTCTTTATGCTGCTCCTTTCTAATACTGAGGAAAAAAAGGGTATTTAGCTTGTATTTGAAGATTCTGAGTGAAGACATGCAGAAATGTCTCTTCTACACACTTGTTCTTCATTCTTGGTGTGCTGAGTTAGTGAACATTATTTACGTGTATAGCTTTTCAAATCTGTTTCATGTGCAAGAGGCAATTTAGCTAGAAATGCTGGAAATAAAATGTTGGCCTAATTTTAATTATATTTTTATTCATTTATCTTTTGTCTTGTTCAGAAGTCAGAGAACAGAGTTCTCCATTCTTTCAGTTATTGAGAGAAAGTTTCATGTAATTTTATTTTATATTCTATACAGCAAAGCTACCTCCTCTAGCAAGGGTTCAAACAATGGAATTTAAGTAGGAGAGTTAATGCTTCAGTATTAAACAAGCAAACAAAAAAGCAAAACCCAACACCCTTCATATTTTCTCTTAGTCTCACATGACTCTGGCTGTATGTATCAGAAAACACTGTTTTATGAATTCATAAGAGGAACCAGAATATATAAAAGGCACTCATAATTTCAAATAAAACAGACTTCAGTAAACATGATCCTGTCTCTATCTCCTCTTTACCCTTACAATTTTCCTTTCTCTCTTTACCTGTTCATTGATGGCTACTTTTTATTTCATGTTATGTATCCCCCTTTGGCTTAGGATTTCCATTTATCTGATTTCTCTATTCTATGTATTTTAAAATTATGTTGAGAAAATATAAAATATATGTCAGTCTTCAGTTCTTGTGATTGACACTTTGGTTTCTCTGCTGGGTCCTGTAACAAGAAGAAGTCACTACTGTGAGTTGGGAATGGCACCCAACACTCAGACCAGAGAAAGAACACAACTTTCCAGCCTGCTGCTTAGCTCAGAAATATATCAGGTTAATATTTTGATAGTACTGAGAATTTTCTGAGTGGAGTGAAGTTTAGTGGTAAACTCTAGAAAATTTTATGTCATTGAAAAGATACAGAGTTCTGGTAAGAAATCTGGTATAATTAATGTATTTTGGAATAATAGGTAAACATTTCAGTAAAGTATTGTTTTTTTTGCAGCAGTGTTTTAAGTATTTTGTCTCCTGTTAAAATTATCTCTTCCTTATCATTTTGTCAAGGGAGAAAGCTACTTTTCAGTGCAAATCAAAGGACTATTGAGCTGTCTGAGCAGAATATTGTATCAGGAGTGTTATAATTAATACAAAGTGGT